CCCTTTTTTTGCGCCAAAATAGATATCCATGCTGGGATTGGGGATGTGAAGAAAGGAAGATGTTTGTGAAATAATGTCCAGGGAAAAGTCGTTTTGTCCTGCCTGCCTCCGAGCCCTAGCTGTAACCTAATCAGAAGTTGCTTTATCGGCTAATCCACGTTTAAACTTTAACCTGTAGGGGGGCTCTTTGTGTTACTTAATGTAAGCATAAAAGCGAGGGGCCGGCCTGAATGACTAATCAGATACATCTTACATTGTATCTCTAAATAGCTTCTCCAAGAAAAGGGGGAAATCGAAAATTAGCGTGACTTCCATTTAGGGGGTAAAAACTTCCAAACCAGACAATGACCATGTAAGAGGGAAAAAATAGCGGAATAAATTTACAAAAGGCAACTTCTTTAATCGGTAAGCATGGGGATGTTAGGGTCGTTTTGGTGAATGAAGGCAATAGCTTGAGATGGGCAGCTGCAAATGGTGCCAGGGCTAAAATGAAATAGATGGACAGGCATATAAGCAGTGAACAATCGTGGGCAATTTAATCAAAAGTAATTTGAAGGGAAATCTATACGAGCCCACAGGACACGGCGCGGCTATGATGATAAATGATGCCAGTGACACGTGACATATTAGGCTTTTAATATTTCAGTATATAAAGAGAATTAGAAGTTTGAGCTCAATACAGGGCCGCAAATGAGATCATCCAACAACAATGGTTAATTCATGGGGGTGATTTAGAATACATCAGCTGCATACACGCGACAGCTGAGAGGGACTTTTGACTTGGGAAAGACTAGACGGAGTTGGGGGGGAAATGTGTTTTGGGGCATTGCGAGACTGGGCTGTGCCTTCGGAGATCACAGAAGGATGTTATTTCAAATGTTTTGGGAAAATTGAAACGAGGATAAAATACTGCATGATAAAGTATGAAGGTAATAAATGCTTATATGATGTGTTTTTTTTCACGTGAAGTCTTAAAACGAGACGTGCTAATATGGGAGAAGCTGTTTAGTCTCATTTACAAAGAGAGAGTTGTTTTGTGTCTTTTAAAGCAAGATATTTTTGCTTGTTGGCAGATCTTGTTTTAAGGAAGTCACAATGTGCCAGAATTAGTACGCATTTCGTCTAATTCAAGCTTTTTGACTTACTTTGTGACTTTTTCCCCATTCTCTAATCTTTCTAAGAGTTGTAAAACTGGGTCCCCATGTATGAGAAAACATCAGACAGCAGAATAAGCCAGGAACAGATCCAAATTGGACAGTTAGTGGATTTTGACTAAGATAGAATTCCCATAGTAGCACACACATGGCATTACACACCCACTTTTTTTTACTTCAAAACAACCCGATTCAACACGATCTCAAGGCGAGTGTTTAATGTGACAAACTTGAGCTATCCATATTCATAATTGCGAGGCTTTGAAATGTGCATTATTTACCGTGACACCAGCGTCCTCTCCGGATCCCAGAGTCAATTAGCTGTCACAAGTGCTACATGCTAAATGGCACGATCCACCTGAGAGAGGCGCGCGAACGGTGGCATCCTTCATGGCATTAAACATCTGTTGAGTTCACCTTGACTCCGGAGGGACCACAATCTGAATTTGTTTTCCTTCTCTCCTTAAACTGCTGTGTGTGTTGTGTCACTCGCTCTCGTCCCTGGAACACAAGGAGTCGAACGAGACCAAGTTCGTCAGTAAAAGCACAACCTGTATCAAAGTGCCTATGTTTTAGAACAGTAACATGCTAAGTCAGGCTGATAATGGACAGCCTGTGTGCTATGGACTATACCTTTGCAACACTAAAAGCTTGAAAAACATAATATTTTGGACCAGAATTGTGTGATTAGAACAAAAAAAAACATCCAAGACTGTATTATTAACAAGTGAAAATGTTTTCTCCATTAAAAAAGTGCTTTTCAATTATTGCAAACATATTGAATCATAATTATCCTTATTACCCCTTATCTCAAAAAGTAATTCAGATTATTTTCAAACAATTGTGTCTTACGTAATTAACCTGGAGAAGACATAGACCCTCCATATTGCTACATTTAACTAATATTATTTTTTGTAGATTATTATGTTTTGGTTTTAATTCTTTGTTATTATATTTTTTTGCCAAACATAAAATAGAAATAAAGATTGTTCAATTAGTTTAAACTCATGCAATATTAATAAGAGGAACAAAAATTGACAAAAGAAACCCTTAAGTGTGCTCCTTCTATTTTGGGTGTAGTAGATAAAGCAAACACTGGTTAATTAGCTCTCTGTGTGAGGTGCCATGAAGGCTGGAAGAAGGTGATTATCACTTTTACTTTAATAAAGGAAACTGCCCCAATGGTATGTATGTGTACAGTATTTATGCACCCTACAGACCTGAGGGCACTTTGTGTTTGGGGAAGCAGGATTATTGCACTGTCCTGTGTCCACTGAGGTCCCACTGCTCTTTTGTGGGATCTATCTCCATCTAGTGGCTCTTTGGGGTATCCTCCTCTTGAAGAACTGTTGTAATCAACCAATTTCCCCCCAAAAAGGCCAACTATGTTCATTTGTGAAGTCGCAAACTTAAGAAAAAGTACAGTCTATGTTGCTTTGTTCATCATAAACTACGTAATATGTTTTTATTCATTTTAATTAGTTCATCTTTCCTCTCTTCCATGCTCTTGCCTGTATCATCTGTACCAGGGACTACGGGAAGAGTAGTAAATTTAGGAGTCCTAATATTAAAAGAAGCCATCTCAGGGGACATGTAATCTTTGCAGGGCCTCTAAATCTCATTATTACCATAATACCACGATAAAGTTGTCTCTGTCAAATTAATGTTAGCCACTTTTTAGAATTATAATGGAGTTGTCCAGCCCATTTTAATTTTGAGATTACGAGATGTAAAGAAACAATGTGGTAGGCCAAGGCTTTGCGACTGTAATCATGCAATTTACCACCACTCTCAGGTCTGCGATGACAGGCCAATTTCCACACTTATTAAGCCGCCGACACACTCCAAATAATCGTATTAGCATTTTTTAAGAAATTAGTCCAATTTCATAGGCATATTCTTCAGTGCACACTCCTTATAACTAAGTTGTGATGTCTCTATTTAAGCTGAGCACAGCGGAGGGGGGAGAGGCTGGGAAGGCCGCAGCTGAGCCAGAGCCATCAGTCAAAGCTCTGACTGCTTCCACACACTTCTAAATCTAACAATAAGAATGTTCCTTTTCTAGTCTTCTAATCAAAGCATGTTTCAAATACTGCATGGTGTTTGTTCTAGATCTTGATCAAATATATTAGTGCTAGTTTGTTATTTATTTTTCATAATATACAGTATGTGCAGCTAACATTTTTAATTGAATACATAATCAATTTTGTTTTCTTCCATTTTTTAGAAAACATTGTGTATTTTGCATACTTGTAAGAAAGAGCCTGTGAGCAACTAATTGAGGCAATGGGCAAAGAGCTGATTGGCTGAATGAAGGTGGTCCTCTTTTTTCCACTTTTCTGTCTGACAAAAATTATCTTAAGATGTGACAGAGACCAAAAAATACATAAACGGATAGAACCAAACTGTTTTGAGAGCGAGGAACTTGTTGTATTGTAGTATAGATACATTTTTGTGGTTTTAAAGTTAAGATACCCCAGCTAATTTATCAAAACGGAAACAGAATGAACTTAAATAATATAGAAATGAACATCCAGTCTATTTCTAAACCTCCTCTTAAGGCACGTTTTGTATCTTTCCATCGTTTACCTTCAAATTGAAATCAAAATCTGAATATAATTTCCAAAGTATGCAATTACAGAAGCAAACATGACTAACTAACTATATTACAGCTATGATTGATGCCCAGCAGAGACAATGATATGATTTCACACATGATTTATGAAGAATGTTGTTTTAGTCTATTACAAATATGTTGATTCCTATTGTAACATAATACAACTTATTATCAGTAAACCTCTGCTTTGACAGTCCCTCTCCTCAGCCTTTTGATGCAGTTTCACACTGCGTCCACCAAGGCTGCTCTGTGTACTGTAACGTCAAGAAAACACCGTTATTATGGCACTGCTGCCAAGAAACACAGCGGCTTTTCAAACGCCCATTGAAATAGACTAAAGGAGGGCAAAATGAGAAGTCTTGAAAATGTGAAAATGAATAATGTTGAGAGTATTGTTTACAGGTGAAACTTGGTTTGTTCACATTTCTCTAACTCAACTTAAAATGTGACTCAAATACATAAAGTGCTGTCAAACTATTCAAATATTTAATCGCAATTAATCACATATTTTAACTTGTTCTAAATGTCCCTTGACTTGGTTTGAAAAGGGATTGGATAATTTTTTTATGTTTTTATTTAACCTTTGAGATAAAGAACTTCTTTTTCAAGGGAGTCCAGGATATATGCATTTGGATAGTCTAATATAGGCTACTGAATCTCTGCTTTTGTTATTGATTTTTACAGTGTCAAGAACTATTTAACAGTAGAAATTACTTAAATTGTCTAATAAAGGCTACTATTTTGTTTATGCTTTCATTCAAGTCAGTTAGAAGGTTTGTACAGTGTATGAAAATCACACACAGTGGAGAAAACTATTTGCTTAACTTGGGCTGTAAACTGGACATAGTTGTGATTACTGATGGATTTCCACCAATCCCCAGTGAGCGCGATTGCTTTTGTTTATGTAACAGCGTCGTCTTTTGAAGCACAGGGACAAGCCTGATTTCAGATCCGTGCCCGTGGTAGAAGCTTGTAGCACGTTAAAATGGGTTTGCCAGTGTAAGGAGGATGCCAATCTGAGTTGGCCCCTCTGACCACCACTGTGCATAATACACACATAATACTCATGTGTATTAAATACTCAGAGAGTGTGTCTCAGAGTCAGTTCAGTTAAGGCGTTCATTCTCTTCCATGGCTTCTCTCAGTGAACTTTCTGCCTTTGCCTCCTCAGATGCAATCCAGGCCCGTTTCAAACGCTGGATTTCTGCCTGGTGGTTTTTCCAAACGTTCTATCTCTGTCCGCTCTTCACTTTCACTTTCTGCTCCATCATAGTCTTTAAGGCAGATTCCAGGCAGAGCATCTTCTCTTTCATTTTCCTGTTGGCATTCTCACAAGCCTCCAGAATCCGGGCGTGACATTCCTCCAGCATCCAGCTGTTCTTCTTCTTGCATTGAAAGCTTTCCTCCTCTATCTCAGCAATAAGAGTTTTTGATGACAAAGTCCAAACTCTAGTCTTTTTGTGTGATGTGAGCTGTTTTTCCTCCAGCTCATTATCATTCCTCAGATCCATCTCACGATCCTGCATCCTCCTCTTCAGCTCTTCAATATAATGTCCACCATCTAGAATATGACCCCGGTGCCTTTCACTGAAAAGAGTCACAAAGCAATTGTTGTGGACATTAATCCTCACTCCACACAGTGATGGTCGCCAAACAGGAAACCCATTCATTTAAACGAGAGTAAGTAAGTAAGTAAGTAAGCTTTATTTATATACCGCCTTTCTCAGACCAGAGTCACAAAGCGGTTTACAATTGTTATTTTTTGGGCATTTATCTCTCACTCCACACAGAGATGGGAGCGGGGTCGCCGAACAGGACCTATTGTACATATTTTTAGTGGTAGGGGAAACCGGAGTACCCGGAGGAAACCTACGCAGACACGGGGAGAACATGCAAACTCCACTCAGAAAGGCCCTGGTCCGGCCGGGATTCGAACCCAGGACCTTCTTGCTGAGAGGCGAGTGTGCTATCCACTCAGCGGTGGCTGAGTGGATAGCACTCGTCTTTTTCTTTTTTTTCTTCTTTTTGAGAGACTTCAAAAATTCACAGCGAGTAAACTAGACTGGTCCAAACTGGTCCAAAAAAATTCACCCCCCTCAGCATTGACACACATGTGGAACGGAGCTTTGGGCCAAGAGCCAAATTTTGGTCCATTCTGTAAAGACGTTTTCGAGAGGTAAGAAGATGCTATATGTTAGCATTGGCTAATTATTCCGGGTCCGCCCTCATCGGCCCGGGGTGGTATTGCAAGCATGTCAGCGCACATCATTCTGGCCACTTTTGAGCCGGGATCCGCCCCCACTGGGTACACTGGATCACCCTGAGAAAACTGGGTCACCTGGAGGAACCCTATGCAGACACAGAGAGAACATGCAATCTCCACACAGAAAGGCCCTGTTTGAAGATAAAATCAAACCCAGGATCTTCTTGCTGTGAAACACAAGCTAAATTGACTAATAACCCAAAACAAGGCGTTCATCGTAAACAAACAAAAGAGATGCTGGGCCACTACTGATACATTTATCACCCTTTAATTTGTTGTTAGGGAAGACTAAGTTCTCTTTAGTATCAAGCTTCTTCATTGCTTTGACATTAGATTGATAACCGCCCAACTCAAAGCAATTCTACACATTGCTGCATAATTTGCAGACAATGTACTCCAGCAATTTGACTGTAAATGATTGAAATGCAATCCATCTTGAGCATCAAAAACACACTCTTAAATCATCTCTGCCAACGATATGGTTTTGCAGCAGTGAGCGACATCCCACGGAGCGAGTATGGAGTTAGCGTGAGGTCGGGAACGCAACAACTTGTCAACTTCTTTTTTAACAGTTCTTTCATTTACCCAGGATGACATTTTGCCGGTGTTGCTATTGGTAACGTGAGCGAAGTTGGGGGCTCATAACTTACCCTCTCGCCGGGGTCCGTGGCTGGGCGGCCCCCCTCCGGCGCTCGTGCTGCTCCATGTTTGGGGTATGCCACATCCTGGTACTTTTATCTTTGACCTCCACCTCCGGGCCACATCTGGAAACATAGTTGGGGAAGTTCAAGAGAAGACTGTGTTATTTATTCTGCAACAACGAGAAAAATATAAACTTTGCTTCTGTTGTGTCCTTGCTGTAGTATCTGGGTGTTATAGTAAAACCAAAATTTTTAAACTTCACAATGCTATAAAAAGATTCTTAATCATGGTTGGTTAAATCCCATTGTTAGGGGAGCGTTTGTCTTTGAGAATACAGCAGCAATTTTGAATATATAATTGTTCGCTCTAATAAAAAGAAACTTGTAAAAAGAAGTCATTGGAAAAAAATCAGAGCACAGTATGTTTGTGTTTTGCGTCCCTTTTTGGAGCACTCATTTTATGAAGGTTATTTTGTGTTTTTATTATCAACACTTTTTTTTGCTTTTGAATTCTATAAACTGTAACAAAAAAGTATTCAGCGTAAATAAATTCAATGTTTTAAAATTCAGTGTCCAAAAATTCAATGTTTTAGAATTCAGTGTCCAAAAATGCAATGTTTTAAAATTCAGTGTCCAAATATTCAATGTTTTAAAATTCAGTGTCCAAAAATTCATTGTTTTAAAATTCAGTGTCAAAATATTCAATGTTTTAAAATTCAGTGTCCAAAAATTCGTTGCATTTTTTTTTGCTGCTTGAAATGTCATGCTTTATTTCTGGGTAAATCAAGAACAAAGCAATCGATCAGCCAATCCTCCATAGATGTAGCCAGGGCCAGAACACGACTGTCTTGTTCATCTGAACATGGCGTCCACAGCAAACCAGTAAGTGTGTTTTCTCATCATTAGTTGGTATGTAACACGCACATGTAACATGTACTTTCTGAACATGTTTTTACATTAGCTTATCATTAGCTAGCTCCGCGTAGGTGGCGTCTATGTTTTGGCGATTCCCAAAAGCTAATCTTTGCTAATGCTAAGCTAAAATGAACCGCAGGAAAGCCAAGTACACGGGGGTTTGCGGTTCTCGTGTGACGTATGTACCATGTTCCAAATTTCAATGTGTATATTATTCTAGCAGTGCAGCAAGGACGAAACCTGCTGACTGTTTAGAGACAGAGCATGCTAAGGGGTTGTTGTTAATTATGTTGTTCATTTTTATGTATCTAGACCTCCGATAATTATTCTATCTTTACTCTTAAATTTTGACATCTTAGTGAAACCAAGATGGAATGAAGGATCGATTCTTTAGGGAGAAAACAAACCCATGGATTCAATATTAATGCTACAGAGAGGAATCAGACTGATAGATATGGGTTTAATTGAGTATATTTGTAAATCCCACTCTACCAGCCTCCTGTTAAAGACTGGCAATGTATTTACATTTACTGTTGATATGACATGTTAAGTTCATGTGTGTGTTTGTAAAGGCATCGTACTTCTGCTCCTCCTCAGAGCGTCTGTTTCTACTCTACTACTGTGTATTTATATTAATTAATTTGTACATGTATATGAACATATATGTCGACATGTCTGATTGTAACAAAAGGCTCATTTTAATCCCAGAAGAACCGGGTCTGTTTAAATTAATGATTTTTTTTTTGTGAATTTCTTTTCCAGAGGCAGCTGTATTTCAGAGGCATCATTTCTTCATCCATTTCCATCACCTCCAGTTTCTGTGGATTACGATATAAACTACAACGACCAATATGTTCATTTGTTTTATTAATTACAAGTCATGGATAGTTAGAACACATCTCTCATTTTCTGAAGACATATGCAGCAGCAACAACAGCAGGTCCCTGGACGTCTGCCTCTGACTGTCTTTTCTACGGTGGACTCATCACAACCTGGAATAAAATAAATTAATTATGATTTAGTTCTTTGTGTGCAATAAAAAGTGATGTATGCGTTTGTTTATCCAACCACACAATCCGTGAGAAACATGTTTCATAGCTTGTGTTTAAGTAATACTTCTAATCAAATACTTTTAAGCCATTATGATCAGGTCTGTTGGATTTCAAGAGGCAAGGAGCTTGTGCTCAAAAAGTAAGTACTCATGACCTTAAATCTGGTCCGTAAGTTCAAGTCCACGCGTCTTCTGTGTCCAGCTTCATGTTCACAGATGTCCCCCTGCACATAATCACGTTTCTACTTAATACAAATAACTTTACAACAAAGTGATGCACAAACGAGGGCCATAGCAAATCCATCAATCGCACTAAACACATGCATTATTTACATTATTTTTAAGACTAATGATTACTCTTAAAACAATTGTTATAACAGAGAAAGTATGATACAAAAGCCGCCTTTTTGGGTTTTCATAATTACTTCCACAGTTAAGACTGTTAGCATAAGGGAGCTCTCAAAATGACTCCCAGGGCATGACGCTCCATTCTGGGCATCAGCGCAGCTCTACACCCGTGGTTAGCGTGTTAGCATTGGAGCTCAAGGCTGGAGAAAAAGTCCAAAGAAAATCTGTTTAATCACCAAACAGACCTCTGATATAACAATAGAAGGGTATTTCCCACCTCCAATTAAATGTTATGTCCTAATTAAAACATAAATTCAACATTTACCTTTACCTCATCATGGCCGCTCCTCTCTCCGCTCCGTGATCCATGCTACAGCGGGACGCTCACGTACAACAGCACGGCCTAATAATAGTGTGCAGCGTCCGAATCGCCATCAGAATGAGTCCACTCACTCAGTCACTCACTCACAATTGTCCCGCACGATATAGTGTGGACATTCGGATAAAGCCAAAGTCGTGTTCTGGCCCTGGCTACATCTATGGAGGATTGGCTGATCGATTGCTTTGTTCTTGATTTACCCGGAAATAAAGCATGAAATTTCAAGCAGCGAAAAAAAATGCAACGAATTTTCGGACACTGAATTTTTTTCAACATTGAATTTTTGGACACTGAATTTTAAAACATTGAATATTTTGACACTGAATTTTAAAACAATGAATTTTTGGACACTGAATTTTAAAACATTGAATATTTTGACGAGAGTAGCTCAGTTGGTAGAGCACTGGCCTTTAGGCCTGAAGGTCGTGGGTTCGAGCCCACCATAAGACCTACTTCACGACTCCCACTGATGACTGCTGTCGTTGTGTCCTTGGGCAAGACACTTAACCCCACTTTGCCTGAAGCCCCCCCTGAAAGATCTCAGCTCCTGTGGACTCACCACCTGCAGGAGGATCAGTGAGGGGCTGGTGCTCTGTGTACTGGGTGCAGCTCTGACTGCCACCCCCCCCCGACCCAGAAATGGATTAAGGGGAAGAAAATGGATGGATGGATGAATATTTTGACATTGAATTTTAAAACATTGAATATTTCGGACACTGAATTTTAAAACATTGAATTTTTGGACACTGAATTTTAAAACATTGAATTTATTTACACTGAATACTTTTTTGTTACAGTTTATAGAATTCAAAAAAAAAAAAAGTGTTGATAATAAAAACACAAAATAACCTTCATATCATTTATTGAGACGTTAGGCAGAGAGCTGATTGGCTGAGTGAAGGTGGTCCTCTTGTTTTTCCCTTCTCTGTCACATCTTTAGGATCGGCTTTTTCAGGCAGAGGCCTAACAATACAAGCATCTAAAAACGAGGGATCGCATCAAACTGTTTTGAGAGCGAGGAACTATACTGATTAGTTGGAATTAGTTGAAAAAGTTCAAATTGTTATGATTTTAAAGGTTCCCCAGCTTTAAAATAAAAATTATGATATCACAATAGAACAGTTCCAGATAAATTACATAAATCATATTTTTTTGAAAACTTGATACAGTATAATGCATTGCCCTGTCCTAGTATTAAGTAAGTGACATAACTTGTGACATTCTTTCTGGCATTGAAGCATTGAAAGGGAAGATGTTTGGAGATTTCCTAATAATAATAATAATGCGTTGGTTTAATATAGCACTTTTTTAGAAACTCAAAGACGCTTTACATGTCGTTATTCATACACTCCAAACACAGTGGTGATAAACTACTACTGTAGCCACAGCTGCCCTGGGGCACAATGACAGAAGCCAGGCAACCAGTATATGCCATTGGCCCCTCTGACCACAAACCATTCACACACACAAAACTCATTCTAGGCATTGGGGGTGAAGTGTCTTGCCTAAGGACACAACGGCAGTTTGGCACTAAACAGCCGCAGCCGCCCCACTGTGGCACCTAGTGTCTTGCCAAGGACACAACGACAGCAGACATCAGTGGGAGTCGGTGGAGAAAGTCTTGTGGTGGGCTCGAACCCACAACCTTCAGGCTCAAAGGCCAATGCTCTACCAACTGAGCTACTGTCATCTTTCAGTTTTTCAGTTTTTCAGTATTTCAGTATTATAGTATTATAGTTTTGGCTTCATAGGACTAAAGGATATCTTGCCTTTAAGCCAAAACTATGAAGGTTCATGATAACTGAATTGACTGAAACAATCCCTTTTTTGGTATTACTATGAGAAATATCCTCGTCTTGTTGGGCCACAGCTTTGAACTGTAAGAAAAGTGAGCAAATAAGAGTATGTGGAGCAAAAGCAGAGTGAGAAAACACCGTTGTTCCTCTTGGCCGGTGGTTTAAAACTGGGATAGAACAATCAGATCTCAGCTGGAGATAGGGCACTTTGATGTTCGAGGAAGATCTGAACACGGGGCTACGGCCAAAATAAACACTCGGACAGGAGATGTTGGAGCTACAAAGAAGGCACCTTTCTTCCACAGATCGGCTGTCTTTGTTATGTGTCCAATCACCTGCACCGATGCTTATTATGAGCGTTTCATCCAGGGCTAAAGGTTTTTCAGCTACAGTGTGTTGTGGGTGGATTCTTCATCAAGTCGATAAAGTCAGTGCACACCACAAAAACATACTTTCAACGTCTTTTGTGAAATACTTGTGGTCGTCTTGTGTTTTTCCAACACTAGAAACCAGCAATCAAAAGTAAAGACTTCATTTGAACTGAACTGAACTTTTAACAACAATATTGACTTGACATGCCAATTGGGAATGGGACATCTGATGTAATAACATGTGAAAGTGTAATTATCTGTCATCTTTGAGAC